AGTTAAAATCAGTCAGAATTTAATACATTTATTTAAGTCCTACTAAGTGGAAACTTCAACAATTTATTACTGTAACATTTCTGAGGTTTTATAAAATCATTATTTATTCATGTGCTAAGTTAGATAAGTAAGGTTAGTGTCATGGCAGGGATCACTGGTGTTTTTAAAGAGCGGACCCAAAAGCAGGCGAGGAAGATGGAACTGAATCTTTAGCGAAAACCGAGCCATTCATTTTGGGCTGAAATCCAAAAAATAACATGTCAGGGGACTTGCCCGAGGGTTGGCACCACAAGAGTTCATAATTGCTTGGTTCAGGAGGTCGACCCATAAGTTGGTGGCACCAGAGTCCATAATTACATAGTTCAGAAGGTCGACTCCGGGGCCAGCGGCAGTGATGGAGCAGATCAGGAGGCCAGCTGCAGGGCCAGCAGCAACGTCAAAAGCGGGGTGAAGCAGACGTGGCCAACGACCCTCAGCTGGATGGGCTTGTCTAAGTTCTCAGCAGAGACAGGAAGCTGAGTGGGCCTGGCTGAGCTCCCAGGTGTAACAGTCTTTACATGTTCCTAGCAGAGGTTACCAGGTCCTGTAATAAATACCCCAGGCTCAGAAAAAGCATGATAGACACAGTTCTTTAAAGAAAAAAAAAAAACAGTTGGAAAAGATCCCCTCAGAGTGAACAGTCTTTGACTAGGAGTCTGAGTTCTCAAACCCAGGGTTAATAGACTTGGGGTTCAACAACTCTGTGAGGATCACCGGTGTGTTTGTGGAGCGGACCTGAAAGCAGACAAGAGAAAGATGGTGCTGAATCTTTAACAAAAACCTTTTATTTTGGGCTGAAAAACATAGGGAGTTTCACCTTGTTTTTCTAACTAAAATAATAACACAAGAACTTAAAATATTTTCAAAATCCTATAAGAATTCAAAAATACAAAATAAACGTCACAGACCAACCCTTGATAGTTAGCCACCAAACGAAAGAAGCCAAAGGTTATGCACAGTACTACAAAACCCTCTGAAACTTTTAATAAAATTGATATTTTAGTGATTAGTCTAAATCAAGCATTTTTCATGTTTGTAACTTGAAAAGGTCACCCATGGTAACTGAACACATCAGCTGGTCTGCAGCAGGTTATGTTCAGAGTTTGAGGCTCAAATCGGCTCAAAGTGTCCCATTTTCACTGATTGTTTCCCGACGACATGCTTCAAGTGTGATATGGATCCTCTGCTGAAGGAATCTGCTTTCTATCCACAACCTGTTGATCCGTATCTGACTAACAGCAGCGCAGGAAGCCCTGCAGTTACAGAGAAACTGTCTGAGTCGCATTGTTGCTGCAGTTTACCTGCAACTGCTGCTGAAGAAAAAGTCTCACTGTGTTTGTGTTTGGTCCCAACAAAGTTATTTCCATGTCTAATTCATGATGAGATGTGGCAGAACTTCTAAACAAGCACTGCATCCAGGCAGATAAAATTTGCTCAGTGCTGTCTCAACAATTTGCTCTCTTAAACTCTGTTTTTATTTTGTCCTATCAGTCCCTCAGGTTGTGAAGGTAAATTCAGGAGTAGAGTCTGTCCAGTTGCCCTGCAAAAACACAGATCCTCTGCCCAAAGATGCTAAGGTGGAGTGGACTTGCATTTGCAATCAGAGCATAAAGGTTCATGTGTATCAGAACAATTCTGACCAATGTAGAGAACAAGACCAAATTTACAGAGACCGAACAAAGATGAATGAAGACCTTCTGAAAACTGGAGACCTCAGTCTGACCTTGAAACACCCCACAGACTGGGACAAAAACATCTACACCTGCACCGTCTACAGCAGGGAGGGAAACATCCTGCTCAAGAAACAAGTGGAGCTAAATGTACAAGGTGTGTGTGATTGTGTTCCATACAAGAAAACATAAAAACCCCTAAATATAGGTTGTCACTAGCAAATTAAATGAAATCTATGCTGTTCGCTCTGAATTGGAAAACACAAAGGAATGCTCTGGCTGTAGTGTTCAGGTTTCAATTTTTTATGAGATGGAAGAAAACCAACTTTATCTCAAAGGGAAAATTTTACTCACATTTTTTCTAAACTTGCTGTGTCCATTCACACAGTGAAGAAATATAGAGAAAATGAAGGAAATGAAATGGGAAACAAGAAAGTCAAAGCACAGTAATTGTGTTTGAAGAGCTTCAGTAACCAAATGCTTGTTTGTCAAACACATACATTAAAGTGAACCCAACAAATTGTTGGGTCTTTGCCTTACAGTATAAAGCATCCTGCAGTGAATATTGTTGTGATTTGGAGCTATAACATTGAATTAAAGAGAAATAAGTGAATCCATTAACCTTTGTGACATCTGCGGAAACAAGGGGGCTGCTGAAAGTAGCTTTATCTGAGAGCTGCGTAAAACATCTGTTATAATTTGATTAAGTTATAATTAAAGTTAAATTATTAAGTTAAAATATACCAATCACTATCAATCCTGTCCATTTGTAACATTACACATTGTTTAAACACAATTTACAGGACTGTCAAAAAACTGTTGTTTCTCTTAACGATGGAAGCACAGTAAAATCTACCAGCAGTTAAACAGAATCAGTGGCAGTCTACCTTATCAACTTTAGTGCTCCATACCGAAATGTGGGCAATCACAGTGTAATCAGTCTGATTATCTTAAGCTGTTTGAAAAGTTGCTTAAGCTTTCTAGATTTCTATCCCCAGTTACCTTTTGCTCTGATCTGCTTCTGTCCTCCAACTTCCTCTACAACTATTTAAACCTGTTGCTGTCTGATCAGCTCATGTTGTGTTTGTTGTTTTCTCAGTCTGTCAGGTGGAGGTAGATGAGGGGGCGGAGTCTGTCCAGCTGCCCTTCAAAACCACAGAAAACCTGCCTGAAGATATTAAAGTGGTTTGGTGGGATAGTGGTGACAGGAAGGTCCACGTGCCACAGATTGGCAGCTTTGTGTCTGAAAAACAGCATCAGGTTTACAGAGGGCGAACACATATGAATAAAGACTGGATGAAAGCTGGAGACCTCAGTCTGACTCTGAAATACCCCACGGAGAGAGACTGTAGAGAATACAGATGTAAAGTCTATGGAAAGATCAATAGATACAAAAAAGTTCTTCTCACAATTGAAGGTAGGTTTGCATGTCTGTGTTTGTGCATGTGTTTGTTCTTTTTTTTTTTCTTTTTTTTTTTTTTTTAAGTTTAATTCCTAAAGGACACTGAAGATAAGTGCCTGCCATTCTACTCTCTCTGCAGTAGAGCATAACTTCCTGTTCCTGTTCCAACACACAGTGGGGGTATTTTTGTGTAGCTTATTTGGATAACAATTTAACTCAAAATGTTTTACATATCTTCTTATATCTTCTTATTTTTCATTGTGTAATCTTCACATGCTCCATCTGAAGAATCCTCTCTGTGTGCTCACTCACTAATTTATAGCCAAAGTAGTACTCACTGTGTCTTTACTGTTTTGCTAGCTTAACTTCGCTCATAGCCGACTCGCTGACAGCATGGCCTCTTCACCTGTCCCCCCTGCACTTTCTTGCTCATTGTGTCAGATGTTTGGTTACTCCTCTGCCTCCTCTAGCAGTAATAACACTTGTAATAAATGTAGCCTATTTGCAGCTCTGGAGGCCAGGAGACTGCCATACACCCATGAAAAACCCATAGCTAGCCAGAGCCCTGTAGCCGGTGCAGCTTTAATCATAATCAGGAAGCAGAGTTGCAGTCTTGCACACCTCTCTGCAGCTTCTTCCCTCCTATTATCCCCCCAAAACCCCATCCCCTTAGACCGTGGTTCCCAAAGTGTGGGGCACAGAGCCATTGCAGGGGGGGGGGGGGGCGCAGTATGAAAAGTAAAAAGAAAAAGAAAGAAAGAAGGAATGCTTGGACACTGCTAGCATAATGGACAGGTTTTTGACGGGGCTCCCACACAAATGCAAAGCAGGAGATGAAGCATCACCAAATATGTTTCCAAACCAACCTCCTTCCAAGCTAAAGTCTAGAAAATATAGTGAAGCATATCTTCCCTTTGGCTTCACCTGCACAAGTGCCAAGGTAGGTCTTTACGACAGAATTAGTTTTCCCTGTGTCGGGAGTAGGCGCTGGGCTCTCCAAATCGCGGACAAACAGAGCCCCACATTTTGGATTTTTAGTTCACAAACACTTGTTGTAATGACTAACTACTCCTGACATGTTGGAGATGTTAGCTCTTTATACAGTAAAGTTACAGCGGGATACAAATAATATCAGACTGATCCTGCCATAATCTGTTCCCCCTGTCCAAATCACAGACAAACAGTATCCCACAGTTGTTTATGTTTTTAAACCCATTTTGCACAGAGAGGCATTTTTTGAAAATGTATTGATAGCAATGTTGAATATTATTATACAGGGAAAAAAAACACTACACATAAAATAATTACACCGTGACGCCTCTGCCTTTCTAAATGGAGGGACAGTAACTGTGTGTGTGTGTGTATGTAAGCGTGTAAAAACTGAAGACTGTAAGATTGACAGTAAACTTCATCTCATGTAAACAACAACGTGGCACACAGCGTGACTTGGAAAAAAGGCACATACCTTTGATGTTGCAGAAGAACTCTGTATTCCTCATCCACACGTAAACGCAAAAACGGTTTTAAAAAATCTCAGTTTTCGATGATTTGAAATGCCATTTACGTGTGGACGAAAGGCCAAAATGCATAGTAAAATACCCGTGTGGTGGGTGTGTGTGGTTGGAGGATGTGTCATTAGGTCTCCTAGGTCATTAGGTTAAGTTCATGACTTAATAATTGATCAACAGGGCCGACGCAACAGCTGCCTGTGAGAAAATACACACAGTCACAGCAAGACTTCAGACACAAAACCCCGAGGCTTTCATTATTATATCTGGAGACTTTAACCATGCCACACTGGATTCTACTCTGGCTGCTTTTCACCAGTTTGTGAATTGTCCCACAAGGAGCAACAGGACAATTGACCTACTGTATGAGGTCTGGAATGGTGTGAAAACCATCACAGGCCACAACACCAAGAAAAGCACAGTGGAGACTGTGGAGAAGGCAAACGAACTCAACAACTTCTTCAACAGGTTTGACCAGCCCACAACCCCCCCACCCTCACCTTCACTACAGAGTCCTCTCCCCACTCTCCTGCCTCCCTCGCTTCCCCCCTTCCTGACACCATGACATCCCCCTCCTCCAATCCCTCTCTCAGCAGCAAGACATCTCCCTCCCCCCCCTCCTCCCAAACATCTCCCAGTGTCACAGTGGATCAGGTCAGGAGGCAACTGAGGAAGCTTCGCCCAGAAAGGCAGCAGGCCCAGACAAGGTGTGTCCTAGGATGCTAAAGGTGTGTGCTGCTGAACTTGGGGAGCCGCTACAACGAGTCTTCAACCTCAGTCTGCGACTGGGGAGAGTGCCCGCCCTATGGAAGACATCCTGCATCGTCCCGGTCCCCAAAAAGAACCGGCCCAATGAGCTGAATGACTTCCGACCGGTGGCACTGACGTCACATCTTATGAAGACTCTAGAGCAGCTCTTCCTCAACCTCCTCCGACCACAGGTACAACATGCCCAGGACCCACTACAGTTTGCATACAAGGCGGGTGTCGGAGTGGAGGATGCCATCCTGTACCTCCTACACAGAGCCCACTCACACCTGGATGAGGGAAAAGGCACGGTCAGGATCCTGTTTCTTGACTTTTCCAGTGCCTTTAATACCATCCGGCCCTGTATGCTTCAGGAAAAACTGAACAGGATGGAGGTGGACCCCTGCCTGGTGGCTTGGATCTCCGACTACCTCACCGACAGACTACAGTACGTCAGGCTGAAGGACATCACGTCTGACACTGTGGTCAGCAGCACAGGAGCACCACAGGGAACTGTGCTGTCCCCTCTTCTCTTCACCCTGTACACCTCTGACTTCTGCTACAACTCTGAATTATGCCATATTCAGAAGTTTGCAGATGACACGGCCATCATGGGATGTATCTGGGATGATCAGGAAGAGGAGTACAGAAGTCTGGTGAGGAACTTTGTCGCATGGAGTCACACAAACCACCTGCAACTCAACACCTCAAAGACTAAGGAACTGGTTGTGGACTTCGGGAGGTCCAGAGAAGGTCCACTGCCGGTTCAGATAGAGGGGGAGGAGGTGGAGGTGGTCAACAAGTACAAGTACCTCGGGCTGTGGGTGGACAATAAACTGGACTGGTCATGCAACACAGAGCACCTGTATAAAAAAAGCCCAAAGCCGACTGTACTTCCTCAGGAGGCTGAGGTCTTTTAACATCTGCAGGAAGCTCCTGAGGATGTTTTACCAGTCGGTGGTTGCTGGAGTACTTTTCTATGCTGTGGTGTGCTGGGGGAGCAGCACAGCAAAGAAGGACTCATGCAGGCTGGAGAAACTGATCAGGAAGGCTAGCTCTGTGGTCGGCATGAAGCTGGACACTCTGGTGACAGTGGCAGAGAAAAGGACATTAAAGAAACTGCTGGACATTATGAACAATGCTGGGCATCCTCTGCACACGGCCATAAACAATCAGAAGAGTCTGTTCAGTGACAGGTTGCTTCTCCCCAAGACAAGAACTAACAGACTTAAAAACTCCTTTGTCCCACACGCCATCAGACTGTTTAACTCCTCTCTGGAGGGGAGAGGGAGGGAGACAGGAGGACAAAGGAGGGGGGAACAACTAAGCTGTAGTGCCTCTTCACCTCACTGTACAATACCTTTTGTGCAATACTTTTTGTAAATAGTCAACGGTGCAATAGACTCAATACTTGAAATGTGCAATTCACTTGTATTTTTATTTTTTATTCCTATTTATTCTATTTATCCCCTTTGTATATTTTATTTATATTTGTCTCTGTATGTATGTGTGTGTGTGTGTGTGTGTGTGTGTGTGTGTGTGTGTGTGTATATATGTGTGTGTGTATATATATATATATATATATATATATATATATATATATAAAAAAAAAAAAAAACCAAACAAAAAAAAACAATTCTGTAACTGTAACTTCGGTCGTTGCTGTGCTTTTTGGAAGTCGAATTTCCCAGAGGAACCCACCCGAGGGATTAATAAAGTTCTATCTTATCTTATCTTAACAAATCGATTTACTCTGCCTTATAGAAACCTGGTTACTGCACAATGATTATGTTAGTTTAAATGAATCAACACCCCACAAGTTATTCTAACCATCAGAAACCTCAATACATAGGCTGGGGGAGGGGGGCAGCAATTTTCCACACCAGCCTATTAATCAACCAGAGACCCAGACTGACTTTTAATTCATTTGAAAGCCTGATGCTTAGCCTCGTCCACCCCAGCTGTAAAACTCAAACCAGTCTTACTTGTTATCATCTATCGTCCACCTGGGCCTTACACAGAGTTTCTGTCTGATTTCTCAGACTTTATATCTGATTTAGTTCTGAGCTCAGATAAAAGTTTAGGCTCCTGCGGGACAACCACGATGCATTGAGTTTTTCCTTTTCAGTCACCTTTCTCACTCAGCATGTGTTAATAAACCTCTCTGCGCTGTATTATACTTGACATTAATCTCTGGCTGTCACATTGGTCATTGAGAAAATGTTGTTTCGCATTTTTTGTGATTGGTCAGGCTTTTCATATGAACACGCAGGGGCAACACTGATTTAACCAGTTTTGTGTGACTGTGACATCTTGATCACCAGTGTTAAAGTGAATTTAGATAATGGAAAGATACCCTGGCTATGGTTATTGCTTTTCATAGCATAAGGCCCATGTGACAAGTTTAGAGATACCTTTAGTGTACTCTGGACATACAAACCCAACAGTTATTGTCGTGTTTCCACAAGCCCCGCTAGTTTAGAGACTTATTCATCATGAAGAAAACAAGACAGTCAGCGATCGATCGATTTACTAGCAAGGGAGGCCTCGTCGGTGTCTACCACAAAATGACCCCAACGACGGCCTCCGCTTGCTGCCTTTTATTGGGAAAACAGTTCACACAATACAATAGTACCTCCCCTCAAACCCCCTTGGTTACAAAGACAAGGGTGTGTGTGTGTGTGTGTGTGTGTGTGTGTGTGTGTGTGTGTGTGTGTGTATCCTTCTGCTGACCTAAAGGGTCATAAAAGCAGGAAGCAAGATCCTTGGTCATAAAGAGGGTAGACTCCCCCACACCCAACGTATGGTTCACCCTGGATAACACAGTGAAGCCATACAAAGGGCAGGAGGC